AAATGAGTGAAGCAAAAGAGGCTAAAACGACCATTGCTAACTAGGCTTGCGTCATATAGTCAATACGGCTCTGATACCAATTCTGTCACACCCGATTTTAACGATAAAATGGGATGCAAAATCTTATGTGCGTCCAGAAATCAGTCACACACATAAGCCGACAAATTATGAATAGTATCATCACAAGTGTTTATTACATCATGAATAATAAGACAGAGTCTTCACATAGATATAGCGGAAGTATAAAGAAAAGATCTCTCGCAGAAGCTCCATATCACAGGGACGTCGACTGGTTGACCACAAGTCTAGTATTCCTCAGGAAAATCGTCATTACCATAGCCATCTGTTACCCATCTGGGATTTTTATCCTAATAATGAAAATAAATAAGCATAAGTACATGTCGTACTCAACAAGTGTAACATGGGGTTCATGAGGCTCAAAAGGCTGACACAGGTTTAACAGCATTCAACTTTTAGTTGTCACAATTTTTAGCAGATGAGTAGCAACAAGTTGTCTTAATTCCCAAAGTAAAACACATGATCAATGTAAACATGAATAATGAATAGCATAAACGGATATTACTTAGTGATCATCTATTCCATAAGGGTTCCAAGGTCGCTCATGACCGTGAGCACGGCTGATATACCAGTTTTACACTCTGCAGAGGTTGTACACTTTTACTATGAGTCGTGATACCCATATATTCGGGTTTATAACTACAAAAACACTTCCAAGGTGAGTAGGTAGGGGTCACTATGAAGCCTTTCAAAGGTTTGTCTAACAAGTTAGGGCCGTTAGGTTTCTGTGCCCTACGAATGTAGGGCTCCTCTTCCAACAGGCACAATGACACACAGCCTATACACTAACGGACAGAGGCTGCACTATATCCAACCCCAAACACACCCCTCTTATGCCATAAAGGTAACCTCTAACAAGCTAGAAAAGGTCCTCATACTGAGCTAAAGCCAGAGCCATGTAGCCCTTACAGCTGTACAATAAGTCCCGGATGATCACTTATAGATAAGTCGTTAGAGAGAGGAATCTGAAGCATTTAGAAAGTAGCTAAACACTCCAGCCCCTGTTTTCAAGTTGCTAAAAAGTCATATTTTAATGTTTATTGCATATACCATTAGTCAAGTTACAAGATCATGGTCCAGTTGAGCACTAGCAAAGCTACCCAATGCACATTACATAGGAAACAAGGTATAAGTTTAATTCTAGGGAATTCGTATCAAGGTGACACATGCAAATATGTATTAAATGCATTAAAGTTGATAGGAAACAAGGATAATCCCATATTATACTTGCCTTGATCAAAGTACTCCTACTGTTCCTGCTCGTCAAAGTAGAATTCTTGGTCACACACGAATTGCTCACCATCTATACTCGATAATCACAGCAACATACAAGCATCTAGAAGTAATCATGCATAGCAAATAAAAGCTATATATTATAACAGTACGCCAATCAACATAAAATCAAGATGAAAATTTTGTAAAACAAATCTATGACTCGCTACGAACACACGGACACGAAGATCACAAAAATCAGAGCTAAAACGAAGAAGTTATGATTTAAACAACATTTTCTTTAGTAAAATAATAGATTAAATCTAACCTTGAATTTTAAGAGTTGAAAACATACTTAGCAGTAGTATGAATATGTAGATTACTTAATTACGAACCTAACGCAACTTGAACGGATCAAATCGGAGTTAAAACGGAGATTTTGTGGCTAAAACAAGATTAACAGCAAAATTGTAAATATGTGAAAACGTATTTTGCATCTAAACCGAAGAAACTACGCTTTCTAGAGAAGAAAATGTACTCTGGAAAAGTGCTATGGACTGCGGGTTAAGTTATTCAAAAACCCAAGGGGCTCTTTTGAAAAAGACAGGAACGGCGGGTTAAGATCCAATTAATTGTAAGGGCCTTTTTGCAAAAACGCCAGTGAAGGGGTATGTTCTAATCCTGGCCCTTGATCTGGATTTGGACGGCCGGAATTGAATCGGGCGGGAAAGAAAGAGCTGACCGGCTAGAACAGGGCCGACGGCGAGCTACACGGCGGCACCATGGCCGGAGCAGGTGGTGCTTGTCGAATTCGGTCAACAGACCACCATTAAACGAAGCAAGAGCACGGGGAGAAAGAGAGGACAACGGCGGACTCACCAGGACCGAGAACAAGTGCGGAGGACCGACGACACCGTGCGACAGCTGCTTGGATGCGACGGCAGCGGCGGACTTCTCCTCGGCGACTCGGACAACGGCACTAGGGTACAGGCGGCTGCGGCTCTAGAGCTCGGAATTAGAAGGCACGGGCGCGGGCATCCGGTTTTTATGAGGCGGGGCGGCTTGGGGCACATGGCACGGAGGGCAGCGTGGGCGGCGCGGAGTCGGGTGGCGGCGGTGGAGTCCGAACCGGACACGCGCGGGAGGAAGATGACCCTGACAAGTGGGGCCCGGCTGTCAGCGGGAGGAAGGAGAGAAGAGACACGCGGCGCGGGCGCGCTGCTCAGCTGGGCTGGGCCGAGCAAAGCTGGGCCGCGGGGGAGGTAAGCAGCAGCATGAAAGCGAAGGGGAGGCGGTGGCTACGGAACTTGGTCAAGGGGAAAACGGGTCGCAGCAGAGCTAGGCCAAGAGGGCCGAATAGAGGGGAAGGGAAGAAAATCATTTTCCTTTTTCTTTTCTAATTTTCAAACCAAATTTTGAAATGCAAATTCAAATCAATTTGAAGTTTGATTTCAAACCACACCATTCAAAAATAATATGCAGCAGCATGAATGAATGTACATACATGTTTGTGGACCTATATTTGATTTTAATTTTATAAAGTTATTATTTTTCCTAAATTTAATGTCACAAAAATGCATAATTAAATCACTTCCTCCTATTTTAAAATTATGCAAATTTTAGGGTGTTACGATTCTACCCCCTTAAAATAAATCTCATCCTCGAGATTCGGACGATGCTTACTCAAAAAGCTGCGGGTTGATCTACCCCACAAGTGTGAGGCAAGGCATATGATTGCGAGAGGTTGTAAGCACTATCTTGCCTTACTTTTCAACCAGGCGAAGCCTATGACAAAACACAATCAGAAGCTTAAAGCATCAGTTTCGGTCATACACTACACTGCTCAATTTCATCTCAAGTGCAGAGACAGAGGTCTTCTTCATCTGCCAGTTGATCTACCCCACAGTCAGGACTTCCCAATCCTTCAATATACAGATGATACTTTGATTTTCATGCAGGGGGATACAAGACAGCTTTTCTTTCTAAAAGCTCTTCTCCAAAGTTTTGCAGAATCTACTGGATTGAAGGTAAATTACTCCAAGTCTATGATGATACTAGTTAATGTTCTGGAGGATAGATTTGAGATCTTAGCACAAACTTTTGGATGCTCAAAGGGCTCTCTACCTTTTATTTACCTTGGATTACCACTCAGCCTATACAAACCCTCAGTTGCTGATTTTTGGCCTCTAGTCAATAGATGTGAAAGACGTTTAGTAAGCACCTCTAGTTTCTTGAGTGAAGCTGGCAGATTGCAGCTTGTCAATGCTGTTTTTAGTGCCTTGCCAACTTTTGCCATGTGCATTTTCTTACTTCCAAAAACTTTCTTTGGCGTGGTTCAGACATCAATAGCAGAAAGGTACCTAAAGCTGCATGGAAATTGGTATGTGATACTAAAGATAATGGAGGCCTAGGAGTGTTAAACCTTCGGACTCACAATGAATGCCTTCTCCTCAAGAACTTGCATAAATTCTATAATAAAGCTGACTTGCCTTGGGTACACCTTATCTGGAATCAGTATTATCAACAGGATAGGCTTCCAATCACTGTTTCTAGAAGAGGCTCATTTTGGTGGAGAGATTCTTATATTTGTTGGAAACTTACAAACGCATGGCCTCCTCAATTGTTAGAAATGGTCATTCTTCATTCTTTGCTCTGGTTAGATGTTTGGGATAATCACTTTCTTTCAGTGCAATGGCCTCACCTGTTTTCTTTTGCCAGAAACAAGTATATAACAGTGTACCAATCTTTTCATAACTTTTCAGCCCAAGAGCAGCCCAAGAGCTTTTCCATCTTCCTTTGTCTGAAGAAGCTTTCCTAACCTCTTTGCTGAACTGCATTTACAAGAGGAACCTGATATTTGGACTTATATATGGGGATCACAGTTTTCACCCCAAGCAAGGCATATAGTAAGCTCATTGGAACCAGACAAGTGCATCCAGCTTAATTATAAATGGTTATGGAAATCATCCAGTCAAAACAAAAGAAAGATCTTTTTTCTGGTTGTGGCTCAAGAACCGTCTGAACACTAGGGCTCTACTAAAAAGGAAGAATATGGTACTGGAGATTTATGATTGTGAACTGTGTAACCATCAGATTGAGGAAACTATGGAGCATCTCTTCCTTCTCTGTCCTTTTGCAGAAGCATGTTGGGTTACTCTTGGTCTCATTGTTCCACATTCTGGGGACTGCTTTGCTTTTCTAGATCATGCCAAAGCAATGCTGCATGTGCCTTTCTTTATGGAAATCATAGTCACCATGGCCTGGTCAATTTGGGAAGTCAGGAATGATGCAATTTTCAGGAATATTGCACCCTCAATAGCAAGTTGTAAGAGGATCTTTAAAAGAGAATTTGCTTGGATTATTGTTTGAGCAAAAGCGAGTTATCATCCTTTGATTGTTCAATGGCTAGAGGCTTATGTGTAATTTGTATGATCTTTTTTATCTCCTTTTTTTGTTTCATGATTTGACACTGTAAAACTTTTGTTCTTATTTTAATAAAAGACCAGTAGGGGGCATCCCCTCCTGTTTCACTCAAAAAAAAATTGATTGTGACCCACTAAGGGCTTATTGGCAAATTAGCAATCCCTTAATTTCAGTTTGGGAAACCTTCACTCTATAACAGAAAAGTGAATGTTCACCAAATATATTCTAATTTAATTCACGTTGCAGACAGAGAACATATCAACGTGCTCATTCTTCATAAGCAATGACTAATCGATCACTGCTGGGCGCTGGATGGCACTCGGCTTCATTGCGACCATCTTGATGTAATCCTTCCTGACCTTCTTTAGTGTCACCACCACATCCTTCATTGTCATTCTTTGCTCCGGCGAGTCAGCTGAGCAGAGCAAACCCAGCTCCATCACTGCCACAAGAAAGCCATTCAGGCTGCTGGTAGCAGAAGCATCATCAAGTAGAATACGACCATCCACGACCTGGACAAGCCCTTCAGGAAATGCCTGATGGACCCAATGCCTGAGGCTCAGTTCACCAACAAACATAGCATCTGTGGGTCTCTTCCCAGTAAAGACTTCAAGGAGCATGATCCCATAGCTAAACACGTCGCTCTTCCGTGAAGCTTTTCCAACAGAGCCATACTCTATCCATGAAATTCATACACACAAAAGATAAATAAAAAAGATGGAACAATAGCATCACTTATATGCCACATGATTAAATAGTGAGACAACTTAATGCTGGATGGTTATTGATTAATCAACTGGATTCAACAGCTGTGGAAGAGGTACTGAGTATTTTCCATATGTTTGAGAATTGGGTTTGACAGACCCTCAGAGTAGTATTTTCCTTCTATATTTGGGAATTGGCCAATAGGAATTGATGTAGGTGAGTAAAAAACATTTTTTGCTTGATACTACTTCTCTGTTGAGTTTTATGGTTAAAATGAAATGGCATTATCATCCCTTGCAGGTGGTCTCTTCATGGGCTTCAATTGGTTGCATTTTTTGTTCTTACTTCGATGCAGGGAATGGCATCCTAACTATTGGATCAATTCATATGTTAGAGAAGGCTATCATATAGGTGTTTGCCTCACATGGATGGAGATTTAACAATAGGATCTGTGCAAGCTGGAAGTTTATGTTTATCTTACTTGGCTATGTTATTGTTTCTACTAATTGGGCATTTAGTCCACTTAATATAGAAATTAGGTAACTAGTCCCTTTGACGCAGAAGCCACAATGAAATTCCACATGTAAAAGGAGTAAAATAGGTACTGGCGTACCTGGTGCCATGTATCCAATTGTTCCAGGCATGTTTGCGGAGATCATGGAATTTTCATCACCAAGCAAAATCCTTGCAATGCCAAAATCCGCCACATGCGCAGTCATGTCCTCATCAAATAGCACGTTGCTAGGCTTCAAGTCGCAGTGTAGGACCACCTCGCAATGCTCATGGTGTAGATACTCCATTGCCATCGACACATGTAGCATGATGTCTAGCCTCTCTATGAACTGCAATTGTATTCTTCCGTTAGAGTGTAAGAGCTCCTCTAAGCTCCCATTGGGCATGTACTCAAGCACCAGTGCTCTGAAGTCTAGATTGGAGCAGGTGTTCAATATCTTTATCAGGTTGCGATGTCGAGCCATTCGAAGCACACAACACTCTGCATCAAACCTTGCAATAGCTTGTTCCATATGCATGTGTATAACTTTTATGGCAACCACCAGACCATTGCTCAGCTGGCCCTTAAAAACTTTCCCAAAGCTTCCAGACCCCAACATGTTAGCATCACTGAAATTTTCGGTAGCACGAGCGAGTTCATGGTAGGAGACTAATTGATGATTAACCATGTCAACCATACCAGCAGAATTCCCTTGACGCTTCTTAACTTTCTTAAGCATTACACATAGGCAGAAAGCTACAGCTCCAACAGATATGATGATTGTGGGGAGTAAATATTTTAGAATGTGAGCATAGCCCCGATGAGTAAATGTTTTGCTTGGGCATGGAGAAAACCCTAAGCGTAAAGCGCCACATAGCCCTGGGTTCCCCTCCAAGGATCGCCGCGTGATATTTGAGAAGACACCTCCTTCTGGTATGTGACCTTGAAGCTTATTGAAGGACAAATTCAAACTAGTGAGTATGGTAAAGTTAGCCAGGTACTTTGGGATGGCTCCGGAGATATTGTTATGGGACAGGTCCAAAGTTTGCAAGCTTGTCAGCTTCTCAAAAGAGGGTGGGATCGGGTCATGAAACGAATTGAGTGATAGGTTCAGGTAGCTCATCATCTGAAGCTGCCCAAGTGAATCTGGCAGGCTACCAACTAAGTGGTTGGTAGACAAATCCATCATGTTCATTTGCTTCAAACTTATATTAATTGGTAATGCACCACTTAACAAGTTTTGAGACAGATCTATTCCGAGGAGCCTATCAAGACGAAACAAGCTCGGTGGTATGGTAGATGTGAACTGGTTATCACATAATATTAGGATCTCTAGTTTGGTGAGATTACCGATGCCGCTAGGAATGGAGCCAGAAAATTGGTTGCTGTCAAGGTATATGATTTCAACATTCTTCAGGATTGCAGCATTCGAGGGAATGGTGCCAGACAGCCTATTTCCACTGAGATCAAGCCACTGGATACTGTCCATCATCATGATTGGTTCTGGAACTGGGTTCTGAAGCTGGTTTCTTGCGAGATCTAGAATCTCAAGACCAGTCAAGTTAGAAACCGTAGCCGGAAGACCACCAGCAATCATGTTGTCGGATGCATCGAAAACTTGCAGATAGCTTGAAAGGTTCCCAACGTGGTCCGGGACGAGGGTCCCGGTGAAATGATTCGTGTGGAATTGAAGTGCTGAAAGCATACTACATTTTGAAAGAACAGACAGGAATTTGAGATCCCCTTGCAGGTGGTTTTCTGCGAGTAGAAGTTCCGTCAGCGAGTTCATGTCACCGATCGTCATAGGCAACGGTCCATCCAACATGTTTTGTTCCAGTTCCAGGTAAATCATGTTAGACAGGTTACCGAGAGAAGCAGGAACAGGTCCAGTCAGTAGGTTGCTGTAAAGATTCAACACTGAAAGTTGGCGTAGCTGCCCAAGCTCTGGTGGAATGGGTCCTGTAAGGTTACATGATTGGAGGTCTAGCAGACGTAGCATGGTGAGGTTGCTGAGTGCAGCTGGGATTGGAGCTGCGTCGAAGTGATTCTCATACAGGCTGATGACTTGGACAGCCGTCAGCTCGCCGAGCCATGCAGGGACGACGCCCTGAAACGAATTCACGGACAGGTAGAGGCTTTGGAGGCGCCGGCAAGCTGCAAACCCGGATGGAATTAGGCCGCTGAATCGATTTTGATGGACTGAAAAGAACTCCACAGCAGGGAGGCTGAAACTCGTGTTGCCCGGTCCCGATATGGCCCCGGACAATCCATTGGTGGCCAGGCTTAGAACACGCAAGGCAGACATGTTGAAGACGCCCGGTGGCACCGGCCCGGAGAGATTGTTCACCTGCAAGCTGAGGTATTGCAGCAGTGGCAACGAGCCGATGCAACGTGGTATCGGCCCTGAAAGGCTGTTGTTGCCCATGTCGTCGGTGAGTCAGCAGGGGAGTGTTGTTGAACAAGTCGTTCGGTATGGAGCCAGTGAGGTAGTTTCTCTGGACGTTCATGGCGCGGAGCTCACGCAGGCGCCGGAGCTCCGGTGGGATCGGGCCGGAGAGGTGGTTGAACTGGAGGTGAACGAGCTGGAGCATGGTGAGGTTGCCTATGGCGGCCGGGACGCCACCGGACAGGGCGTTGTGGCCGAGATCGAGGAGCTTGAGGCGACGCAGCCTGCCGATCTCGCCTGGGATTGCGCCGGCGAGGCTGGCGTTGGTGAGGTTGAGCACGGAGAGGAAAGAGAGGTTACCGAGGTGCGGGCTGAGCGCTCCATGGAGAGGGACGTCTGCCAGCTCGATGGCAGCCACGCGCTGCCTTTGGCGACCACCGCAGGATACGCCCACCCATTTGCAGAACGACGTGGTGGCGGTCCAGTTGCCGCCGAGGATGCCGGCAGGGTCGGAGAGCTGCGCCTTGAAAGCCAGCAGCGCAGCGAGGTCAGTGCTGCTGCCGTTTCGCTTGCTCGGGCGGCCTGAACGTGAAGAAGCTGCAGCGATGGTTGTGGAGGTGGAGATGATCAGCAACAACAATATGGATATGGAAATTGGAAAACTAAGTGATGCCATGTTTGGGGTGTGGTGTAGTGTGGTGTAGTGCATTGACAGCAAGAGTTTGCAAGCAATCCGAGTTTTTAAGTAACATAACATCCAAGGCCTTCACCACTGGTCAACCTAAGTTGTCGCAAGCGCAGCAAACACGGAGTTTGGACTAACAAGTGGCAAGTTCCATGTTTGATAGTGGAATGGCACTATGGAGAATTGGAGATATTGGAGAATAAAGTTCTCACGTCATTTCAGAAGGAAATGAAGTCCTCACACCTCACTGAAACTGAAAGTCTGATCAAACCCTATTCGATCAACAGTTTGTACCCATCGTGCACTAGATGCTAGTATGTGGAAATTAAAGTTGGCATTTGGGAAGTGGTGGATATGATTGAAATTTGGAAGTTGTATTAGTACTTTCTGAAAAGGGGTTTTCAGTCAACCGACTTTGAGGCGTCCTAGATACGCACATCTTGTTCAGCTGTACCATTTTCCAAAAATTTCTATATACTCTCTCAATTCCAAATTATAAGATGTTATGTATCTCGACATAGTGTATATTTAAGTATATAGAAAAAACTACATATCTAGAAAGTCAAAATGTCTTATAATTTATAACGGAGATAGTATAATGTAGTAATAAGAAGATGAGACGACACATCAATGCTTTCGCACTCCTGATCTAATCGACTAAAATCCCGCAAGTGGGATATGCCTCATGGACCAAAATTGCCGCCTGGCATGGCCTGGTACGGGTCTGATAAAAGCATGGCCTGATAAGGCCAGGCCCGACATGGCATGTCGGGCTGTTGGGCCATGCCAAAGAGGACTTCGTGCCTGGCCATTAGCCCAGGCATAGCACACCTAGCTGATTTTTTTTGCGCCAGGCTGGCCCAATAAGCATGGTCTGTAGAGCAGGTCGGGCCAGCCCGAGGCCCACGTTTCCGCGCTTCCATGGCCCCGCCGCCGCACCGCGAAACCAAGGGAGGTGCTCGAGGCAGGTGCTAGGAGAGGCAGCCAGCAGGATAGGGGGAAGAGGCAGTCGGCGTGTTCAAGGTCGGCCCCTTCGTGGCCGGTGTAGTGTAGTGTCGCGCTCGCTCCCATGCTCGGGCGCTCGAGGCTGGCCTTTGCAGCCACGAGGCAGGGGTAGGGAGAGGCAGCGGTAGTAGGGCGGAGGAGGCAGAGACAACCCGCGCGAGGTGGCGAGGGGAGTTGGGCGATGCACGTCGCCCCACTCGTCCGTCTACATCTCAGTCGGTGGGAACTTGACTCACGAGTGGGAGGTGATGCGGATGGGAATCGGAAAATGGTCAAGTGGGTGAATGGGGACCGGTTAGGGTTGGGAGTTAAGGTGTTAGGCTGTAGGGATGTTGGCCTATTAGGCTATTAGCGGGCCTAGTACCAGACCGAGGCTATTTAACCGTTCGTGCCATACCGCTCGTTGTGCCTAGGAAGCAGTCCAAGCATAGCCCTAGCTAGTGGACAGGGTTGTTCTGGGCCCGCACACCATCGGGTCGTGTCATGCTCATGCCAGGCCAAAAAAAAAAAGTGGGCTTCGATCTTGGCTGTCAGGCGTGGGCTTTATGTACATCTATATACTGGTATGAACCTGCATACTGCGGTGATAAATAAATTTGAAAGTTTATTATGATCCTGAAATTCACTCAAACTCTAAAACTTATAACAACAATTGGTCACTAAAAACTAGCGCAAAGCCATGAAGCGTCTATTGTTATTTCAGAAAGTCCACGGACCACAGTTGCGGGGCCGGAAGCGGCTATCCTTTACCGCACGCGTGTTGGCGGCGACGTTGCGCAACGGCGGACACCCCGCGCGGAGCGGCGGAGGCAGTGATGATACTCCGCCACGTCGTGGGAGAGCGGCCGGCCGGCGATGTCCTCGTGGCGCTCGGCCCCTCAGAGTCTTAGACAGGTGGCCCTGTGGGTGCTGCCGTGCCGAATGAATTTCAGCGATGCAGATGCGGTTGCGGTCAAAGAAAGCTCCACGGGAAATGGGCTCTCTTCTGTTGTCCAGCGGGTTTAGGTTTTATTATCTTGGCCTGGAAATGGGCCGAAGGACATGTGAGCCCAATTGGTCCACAAACGAACAATCGATGTGTATTGGGCTCCGACAAAAAAGAAATGTGTACTGAGCATCTCAACTATCATGAGTTCATGACGATTCTAGGTAGGTAAAGATAACGGAGTTACTATCGCCTGGCCGTTCGGAGCCGCTGCGAATATCGGACGCCTCCCGGTCCTTCACGTTCGTTTTGAGGACTGAACGACGGATGGTGGGCCCCAATAAATTATTGTCTGATTGTCTCTGTTCTAGTAGACCAGTACGCATCACCGACTTTTTTTTATATAATTTAGTCATTTTCATCAAAATTTCACATTTATACACTGGGCGTCAAAAAACCATCTTTAGACCCTGAACTCGGCTCTGTGATCTACGGCACCGAGGCAACACATCTCGACGCCATAGGTTGCCGCGCCAAGGTAGGAGGTCATGGTTGGCGTGGCTGGCGACGTTGGCGCTGACGTGGCCAGAGGTCGGTGTCATGATTCACGGTGCTGACCTCGGCGCCGTGAATCGTGGCGCCGACCTCTAAATTGAACCCTAACCATAAATTATCATGACTTGGACATATAAAATTTGGTTGCATTTTTGCTATGAGATGACATATAGAACATGTTGAAATTTGGCTAAAGTCTGTGATTTTACTGTGACTCGGATACGTTAGAAGTTGCTACAAGGTGATGACAATTCCATGATCTCTGCGAGCATATGCCTTAACAATTGGGTACATGGCACCAGGTACTACCTAGTACCTCTTCTACCTTTTTTTTTACATAATAATGGGATTTAAATGGCTGCGGCATTCAAAAGTGCATAAAACCAGTGTCGCAATAACTTATAAAATTGCCATATTAAGTGGACTAAATGCTTAATAGAAGCAATAACATAGCCAATTAAGAGAAACAAAAAATTTCAGCTTGCATGCTACTCTTCTAAGTTCTAACCAGATTATTCCATTTAAATAGTTTATCCTTCACTGGTGCTTGGCAGAAGAAATATTAATAGGTGTAGTGCTGAACACTTTAGTAGGTGTTATGTATTTCTTTTCGTTAATGTTATATTAATAGGTGTTAGCGCTGAACACTTTAGTAGGTGTTATGTATGTTGAGTTATGATCCAAATTCAGTTATGTACAAGATAAAGGCTAACTTCTGCCGAAGCGAAGCGAGACCCGTCGCCGAGAGGCTTGGGATGAAGCGATGGAGGTAAAATATGATGATGAAGATTTATCTCTTCTACTGTTATGCTCACTGCCTAGTTCATTTGCAAATTTCTGAGATACCATACTATTAAGCCGTGATGAACTAACTCTTGCGAAAATATACAAGGCCCTCCAGTCGAGGGAGAAGATGAAAGGTATGGTTCAGTCTGATGTGTCGTCCTCCAAGGGCGAAGTGTTGCAGATTAGAGGCAGGTCCGAGCAGAAAATCTACAACAACAACAATAATCGATGCAAGAGCAAGAACGGTAAAGGCCGTTCGAAGTCCAGAGGTAGGGATAAGTTCTGCATGTATTGTAAGAAAGATACTCATGTCATCGAGGATTGTTGGAAGCTGCAGAATAAGGAGAAAAGAAACGGTACGTATAAACCGAAAAACAAATCCGATGGTGATGGTAAGGCCTCTGTTGTCTCCGTTGCTGCTGATGGTTCTGATTCAGGAGACGTTCTTGTTGTTTTTGTTGGTTGTGTTGCTGGCAGTGATGAATGGATACTAGATTCTGCATGCTCGTTTCATATATGCTCTAACAGAGATTGGTTCAGTTCTTACGATTCTGTGCAGAGTGGAGATGTCGTGTGTATGGGAGATAACAACCCACGTAAGATCATGGACATTGGCTCCGTTCAGATCAAGATGCATGAAGGCATGATACGCACACTGAAAGATGTGAGACACATACCAGGGATGGCCAGAAATCTCATCTCCTCAAAGACACTTGATGCCGAGGAAATGTACACTCGGTTCGTGTGGAGTGTGTAAGGTATCAAAAGGCTCTCTCATTCATATGATAGGTGATATGAATTCTGCAAAGTTATATATTCTTATAGGAAGTACTTTACATGGTTCCGTCACCGCTGCTGCTGTTTTTAATGATGAACCAAGTAAAACTAATCTCTGGCATATACGTCTTGGGCATATGAGTGAACTTGGTATGGTAGAATTGATCAAAGAGACCTGCCCGATGGCTGCACTGTGGGTAAGATGAAGTTCTGTGAGCACTGTGTTTTTGGTAAGTACAAGAGGGTAAAATTCAATGCATCTGTTCATACCACCAAAGGTACACTTGATTATGTACATGCTGATTTGTGGGGGCCGTCTCGTAAGCCCTCTTATGGTGGTGCTCGTTAGATGCTTACCATTATTGATGATTACTCTAGAAAAGTGTGGCCTTATTTTCTGAAAAATAAAGATGATACTTTTGCTGCTTTTAAGGAGTGGAAAGTTATGATAGAAAGACAAACTGAAAAGAAGGTAAAATTGCTTCGTACTGACAATGGCGGTGAATTCTGTTCGGGTGCTTTTAATGATTACTGCAGGGAAGAAGGCATTCTCAGGCATCACACCGTCCCGTACACTCCTCAGCAAAAATGGTGTGGCTGAGCGCATGAACCGAACCATCATCTTGAGGGCTCGTTGCATGCTGTCCAATGCTCGTATGAACAGCGTTTTTAATGAGGTCGCTAACACCGCTTTGTTACTTGATCAACGGTCACCTTCTATCCCACTTAATAAGAAAACTCCCATTGAGGTATGGTCCGGTATGCCCGCCGATTATTCACAGTTGAGAGTTTTGGTTGTAATCGCTTATGCTCATGTTGATAATGGAAAGCTAGAACCTAGAGTCATTAAGTGTGTGTTTCTTGGTTATGGTCCTGGAGTTAAATGATATAAGTTATGGAATCCTGAAACTAAAAAGACTTTCATGAGCAGGAGCGTTGTTTT